GTGCCTATGAGGGAAAAAAAGGATGGCCTGCTTGGCCGCTGACACCACGTAGAAGACCCAGCTATAATTGCATGTTTATAGCTTTGGCTTGATCTAGTCCTGGCTACTGTGGTCATTTTAGGGAATGAATCAGCCTTCTTTCCAGTGTTCTGTCTCTGTAACTTTACAATTCAAAACAATGAATCTGAAAAGAAAAAAATCAACTCTGGAACTTCTCTTCATCTAAACCACTTATTACAAAGTACTCATTAAACTTCTTAGTTTCGTCAACCATAAAAGAAAACGAAATTCCTTATATTCATTAAGTTATTCCCTTTCTGCTGGAATTTGAATGTACACAGGAGAGGTTGCAATGAAAACCAATCAGAAATCCATTCTCAAGAGTTTTAATTTAGCATATTGTCCTATCTTCCTGGCACTGTTATTACAGAAAATAAAAGGTCGTTAAGGAAATGCTGACTTTTGGGAAGAAATATATCTCATTTTGCTTTGAATATAATAGATTAGCTTGGTATAGGATATTAAAGAATGAAAAACATTTGCAATTGGAAGCTGTGATTTTTCTCAAATATACCTAGAGCTTCCTTCAACATTTATAAGATTTTTTTAAGAAAATACCAGTAATAATATTATAACAGCCATATTTTAAAATTCTTCTATTACAAAATTTAAGGGCCATGCCTATGCAGTGTTTGTTATATAGCATCAAGCATATAATTCAGTTCTCTGCTTGACAGTGCCTTCTGAGGAGCATGATAAGGATGGCTTGCTAAGCAACATTTCTACATCCATTTGAAATGGCCAAAGCAATGGGGATTTCAGCAAGGAGAGCTCCCTGTGCATTATGACTACTTAGGCATTTGTTTTTCTTATTTCTGCTTCAGTTTCTTTACATCACACTCTTCCCTGAGCTTTTCTCTTTCTCTTCCTATCCCTTCACTTCTAATCCATTGCCTTTCCATTCCTTCCCTTCCCTTGTCATTGTGTAATAGCATATCTTGAAACAGAGGACAGAAACTGCATTTTTACCTGACCCTTTTCTAATCCTTGTACATCTTATACTAAAATTTTCACTTAGCATTTTTTAATTGGGGTTATTTAGATAAACTCTGAATTTTTACCATGTTAGAATCTGGTATTATAAGTGAATGATTTCTTCATTATTTTCACAAACTAGCCATTAGAGTATTTACTAGAAACTTTTAATTTATAATTCAGTTTACCTTAGTTGGTGTACCGTAGGGCATGAAAACAATGTAGAAAATATTTTTATAAGTATTAATGTGAAATTTCAGCTTTGTTGTTTCCAACTCACTCCCTTGTTTCCTCAGTTCTTTGTCTAAGCATCCATCATGGCACTCAAGACATACCGTGTTGAAATTCACAGATACATAAAGAGTATGTTTATGCACACATTTTTAATCCAGATGTTCATATAATTGGGAAGGTTCAACCATGAAAATAAAGTTGTCTAGCTCATAGAATTATGAAAAGTGAAGACCTTATAAGAGCGCTACAAAGTAATTAACCGTCAGATAAATGCTAACTATTATCACCAAGATCATTATCATTATTATCATAGCTATTACCATCAAAAACCTTAGTTACTCAGGAATAAGATACCTGGGACTTATTTCATTCCAGTTCTTTTGTGTCATGCCCAGACTCTACCAAGCAGTTTAAATTCAAGAAATATTTTACTTTTTATAAATACTGATGTTTGTTTATTTTAGGAAAATGGATGCTTACAGGGCTTGACTTTTGTATGACAACATTAGCTGTAAGTCTTGGTTCCAAGTAGCAGCATAGAGGATGGGAACTGCTCATGGATCTATAAATATCTGTGAGTCTGAAACCCTGAATATGCTTCCTTAACAACCTCGATTTCCCTGGTACTTTTTGCTTTTCTGCACAATCTGGGCATATGTTTAGTTGAAATTGATTCTGTTATTCTCATCTCCATGTTTGATGGCTTACTTTGGAAAAAACTCTCATCTCTTCACAGAAAAGTCCAAGACTTCTCTCCACATCCTTCCTCAGCCTTTCTGCCTATCCCATCTTACTTAACTGAAATCTAGTGGTCAAAGGCTATAAAATATCACTGTTTCCCAGTAAGTCTGAATGTGGATAATTTCTGTTATTCTTGTAAAGATCAACTGATGAATTCCTCAAAGAGAAATCAGTTTCCAAATATACCAATTCAGAGTTAGTACATGACATTGAAAGAGAAGATAACAGGACGCAATGCAGAACAAACAAGACTACAGAACTAGAGCAAAAAATGATTACTAAGAATGTTGAAATTATACCTGAGATTCAGCGTAGATTAGTAGACTTTTAGCTGTTTTCCACAAAACAGTAAAAATGGGTGTCTAAAATGACGATTATGTGATTTTTTCTCACTATAGAATTCATTTTATTAAGTAAACATAGCTTATATTATGTATATTTAAATATATACAATAAATTTAATTAGAGAAAATGAGTTTTTTTTTAATATAATTTTATTTCCTAATTCATGTTGTGCAAAATTCATGAAACTAAAAGAAAAAAATGTTTAAGCCTGCAGGGCTGGTTCAGTGGCATAGTAGGCTAATCCTCCACTTCTCAAGGGCCAGAATCCCATATGGGCACTGGTTTGAGTGCCAGCTGCTCCAGTTCCAATTCAGCTAATTTTGTATGACCTGGGAAAGCAGCAGAGGATGAACCAAGGTCTTGAGCCATGCATCCACCGGAAGGCCCAGAGAAGCTCCCGGGTCAAGCTTCAAATTAGCTTAACTCTAGCAATCCCAACAGTTTGGGAAGTGACCCAGTGAATGAAGGATTTCTCTCTGTCTCTTTCTCTCTCTCTCTCCTCTTTCTCTCCCCCTCCCCACCCCCGGCTTTCAAGTAAAATAATTAAGTGTTTTTAATAAAGAAAAAATATTTAAGCCTAAATATTGCTAATATTTAACCGTGACTTAAGATATCTCTACAAGTATTTTACTTAAATGCAGAATTCTTGAAGTGTGTTATAAGCTATGGGCAACGTTGAGTCTTCACACGCTATGCAAAACTGTTAACTGAGGCAATTCTTTTAAGTTCCAGGAATGCATTCATGAAACAATACAAATTTAACTTTAAAAAAAAGTCCTCTTGGTTTCAAGGATTGAGATTTATGAGGAGACAAAGCTTGTCTGCTCAGTAGAAAACACTGCGGGGTTTGGGCAGTCATGGCGAAGCTGGATTAAAGGAGCAGAAAGCTGCCGCCTCAACCATTGCAGCAAGATGTAAATGATGTATGAAATGACGAATCCCTGTCCAACACTCAGGAAGAATATAAATACTGCACTGTAATCACTGCAGTGCTGGCAATTTGCTAAAATGTTCTGCTTAGGTGATCCCAGAAAAATCTCACCTCATATAGAAATCCTAGAAAGAAATATGCCAAAATGAAATTTTACTATTTCACTCTACATAACAATCACTCATTTTCTTCTCACCCCCCCCGCCCCCAGCCTCTAAGGACATTTTTTGGCCTATAGAATATTTTTAGATTACTAAGAAATTGGTGCACCATAATTTTAAATAATAAATAAATAAATAAATAAATGTCAGAACACATGAATTACAATAGATATCAAAATTAAATTCCATTTTAAAGCTAGCCAGTTCCAGTTGTAACCCAGGTTTTGTTCCAATTCTAGGCTTTACTCTAGGTGGATGACTTGGCAAATTTTTCTTAAAATTCTATGGCCTTAGGCATTTTCTCTGTGTATGATCCATTTTTGTGAAGTTGAAATGGACATAAGATGAGAAATCACTTGCCATGACACAAAAGAGCTCCTTGTGAATGGTGGGTACATATTTTGCTCCCTTTTCATAGTGGAGACACTTCTTTCTGGGATATAAAGAAAGTTGTATTTCAATCTGGATGTCTTAAGTTAGGGGATTCTCCTTTTAACTTATGAGAAAGCTCACTTGATGCTTCTGAAGATTTGATATTTAATTTTTAATGAAAAGAGATACTGACTTTCGGTTATAAGGAAAGTGTACAATATAAACCAATAAGTAGAAAAAACACAAGGTATTGTGACCATAAATTATTACCTCAGAATTAAAAGTACACATATATACACTTCCCCTATTGTTAAGAATCTGCTCCTCAAAGAGATGAAGCACCACACAGATTCAAAGGCTAAAGTCACAATATGAACTTTTTTTTAATCTATTTGTTCAAGGACATATTTAATAAATGTGTCCCATAATGAATCGCCAGGTGTTCTCAGAATGCAGAGGTGAAGGATGAAAACATTGGAATTAGCCTCTAGGACACCTGCTTTATACAATTAAAATGAAGCTGTCATTTTCTTGGCCCATCATGGTTCTCTCTGCATCACACTCATCCTATAATTATTATACAAGATGAGACCAAGCATCAACCACAGACCAGACTTCTTTTCCTTTTAGAAACAGGCACATTTGGAAAAATGAAGATTTAAATTCCACTAGATTCCAAATACTAACTAATACTTTCAGGACTCTTTGGAATCTTCTCCTAGTAGATGATGATATACCAGAAAACATACTGAGGCAGAAGACTTGCCCTATGCCACTAACAGCAATCCACACAAAAGTTCTGCCTTCACACAAAGGACTTCTTCCTCAAATGTGAGGCTTTGTACACAGAGAAACTAGATCATCATCAGAGGAAAAGCCATCTTCAAACATCCAATTTATTCAATAAATAAAGAAAACCAAGGATGTCAAAGTAAAGAAAAAACACATGCATCAAGAAATAATAGGTTTAACTTCCTGCTAAGAAGAAAAACTGATGTTCAGTAGCATCTTAAAAATATGAGGTAAATTCATTTTGATCCAGAAGCAGTATTTTGAAGGTTACTTTTAACTTCTTCTATTTTACGTTTACCAATATAGTGAAATATAACATATGCTGAAAGCAACACCAGTAGGTATTGAATACTTCATTTTGCCTACTGTGGTGATGATTCGGCTCTTACTTGTTCTGCAAGCATTTTTAAAGAATTCTTCAAGCTGTCTGGAGAACGCTGGCTCGCAGAACTAAGCAGTCGGTCCGCATGGGTTGCTATTAGAGGCTGCAGCTGATTGATGTTGCTCAGAACTTCTTTTGCTTTGGCTGTGTTTTCGGGTGAGTAGTAAATAAACTGGTATCCAGTACTGCAACAACAAAGATAATGACAGGTTACACATACTCACGCAAATAAAGAACCTGTAACCCTTGACACAGCAGGTTAAACAATAAACACAGCCTCAAATACATCATGTCCTATTTAACAGATAAGAACTGTTCCAAGACAGGTTTACAACACCCTAAAAAGTTTTAGCAAAGTACATTTTAGGACTAGGCAGGATAATCCAGTTCTTTTTTTCAAAGAGTCTATATATCTAGAACAATTATATTGAACCTATTAACATGTTTATTAATGAATAATAAACATGAATAATAGAATAATAAAATGAATAATAGAGACAGAAAAGGGTGAGCTGTTATATTTGAGTTAATCTCAATGTAAATATTGTCTTTCCACTTGTTAGCTGGATGACAATGTACATCCTGCAGCTTCATTATTAAGTAAGTGGGAGTAATTGTGGAAATAATTCTAGAAGGCAGGTAAGATTAGAGATCACTCATATAAAATGATCTAATATACTGACCTTCCCATGATAATTGGGAAGATGGGGTTGGAAATGGTGGCTAATATTATCAGCAAATAAATGGAGATAAAATAAATCCCAAGTGGCCACATGGATGATTTTATTGTATAAGAAAACACAGCTAAAATTTCCATTGTTTCCTGTACCTCTTGTTCTTGTGGTATATGATCTGACTTTGAAAATGCAGCTAAATTGTTTATTAAATGAAGATTATCAACTCATCATTACTGAGAAACTTATTGAGTATGTTATGAAAAAATTCATAGAGTAAAGCAAAAATGATTAGCTTCCTTAGGAAGGATGAAAGAAGCATTCTAGCAAAGAAAAAAAGACACAGAGATAACACTGGCCACTCAGAAGAGATGATGGCTAATGCGTTTGCATGGTCGGTATGACTTTGCTCACATCCATATACACTCAACTGTCAAAGCACTTGTTGCTTGTACCTTGCAGATTATGCTGAGTATTGATTGAACATTTCTACCATATTTAATGGCTAAGTTATTTAAATTATCACATTCTTTTATTTGGTGAAATTAGAGGCCAACAAGAAAAATAAATATCTAGGAAGCAAATCCCTCTTCCTTCTTTTATACTAAAGATGCTTTTCAAGGGAAACTATCAGGCTCTTTCAGGAGATATTATTTTGCAACCATACAATGAGTGCCTTTCATAATTTACTGATTTTATTTTTGTTGTCATAAGATGATTAAAACACATGTCCTTGGATGCTTGAATTATTTAGAAGATAGAGCTAGACGCCATTGGGGGTTACATGTTCATGAGAGCTAAGAAACACATTGTTAATCTGATTTACTCTCAGTTTCTTAATTGTAGCTGCTTAAGAGGACAAAAGAAGTTGAAACATTTTACTTATATTTTGATGCAAATTAAGGTGAATGAGAAATCACAAGCAAGAGGAGGAAGAAAGAAAGAAAAAGGAAAGGATATCTCTTCATGAGGTGAGCACCTCTTACAGAAGCATACCAAAATCTAGACAACAGAAATCACACTCTGAAGTGTCCCTTTGTTCCTTTGTGCCAGACTGGGTAGTTCAGCCCAGGATAGTTTTAGTAGATCAAACCAATCTGTGACATTTTTTGCAGGAGATGATTATTTAAAGGTATTTATGAGTCATCAAAAAGTGGACAACTTTTGCTCTCCAGCAGCTATCAGCAGATATGGTGGCTCTTCCCTGATCTTCCTTCCTTGGTCTGTGCCTGTGATGTGAGCAGCACCTTGCTTGTGTGCTGGTAGGGGTACCGATAGGCCTACTTTGTGGCTGGGTCCCTGGCACACAAGAATGCTTGGTCACGTGTGGCCTCTGTCACGTTCTCCACATGGCCCTCTGAGTGTGTCACCACTGCTTTCTCATTTACTCAATCCTACTCATTCTCTGTGATGCCTATCATTACTGCCTTCCTTCTTTACCTCATCTCATTCTTTCTTGGCCATTCTTTGTTACTTTATTCCTGACTATGACCTATGATCATTATCTTTTATACCTAGTTTTTAAAGTCCAGATCCTCTTATATTTTACTCTATTAGGTATATTTCAGAGATTTATGACTCATGTGTTAAGTGGTGCCCAAATTTGAATGGCATAAAATTCACTTACATATGAAGACAAAGCCTGTATGCTCACATTTTTTTAAAAAGGTGGGTTCCTTGGCAATACCAGGAAATTCTGCTTCAATAGGTTTAGTATTTGTAGTAAGCAGCTGAAGATCTCTGGATTATAATGGACAACTGAGCATCTTTAGAGTCACTGCTACCCCTGCCTTGACTCTGACAGCCCCTCAAAATTCTTAAACATCCTGCATAATGTGTATAAAACTTACCCTTAAGGTGATCTAATTTTTGTAGGGCAAGATATGAAGGATTTCATAGGGAAACAATGTAAAGATTATTGAGGGTAACATTTTTTGAAATTCGTCCTTACCAGAAATTTTCAAAGCACATCATGGGAAATATGCATTATTCAACAAATGTGGATATGTTCTAAAAATGCTGGCCTCCAAATACGCTTACAATTAGTTCAGTTTAAATGATTTTTAAAAAACAAATCACTTCTTTTATAAGCTACGTTTACATTTCCTCTTTATATTCTTTATCAATTGTGTTGGCTTCTTTTTCATAGTTTTGTTTGGCCAATATTTTTCATCATTCTGTCATCTTATCCCCCCTAACGGATTTCCTCTCCACCCATAATACATCACAGGACCCAATCTTAACCCCTGCCTCCTGCAGCTCAGTCAGTCTCCTTTGGAACAGTCATATATTAGACACTGGTTGTGTGCATGAAGTCTTAATGATGAACACCTTCCCTAGTGAGCCTGAAAGATTGATTTTCCTCAATAAAACCAACGTTGGTATCCATGAAATAGTATGGCATGGGAAAAGATATCACCATCCATAAAATAATTTTAAGTATACATAAATTTTATCTAACTTTTCAGTGCCTTACTCTTTAAACATGTCATATTCTAATAATTATAGCTTCTTAAATGGAAAGCTATGCATATAATTTAATTATCTAGATAAGAGGAATGCAGCTAAACACTATTTTATAGTGATATGAAACTGAGTCCACTAGGATCAGCTATCAGTCAGATAAGCCACAAGACAAAACATTGGATAAAACGTACTTTGCAAGATATTAATAACATGTAAACCATTTGTAATCAAAACTAGAATTTGTTTTGCATTTTCTATTGATATTATGATTGATTAAAGTACACATATTTACAAAAATGTATGTACTTTATATACTAAAATAATTTGGTTTAAAAATGATAATTTAACATAGAATATAGTGATTTTTCTTATTTTTACAGATTCCATATTTTAAAGATGTAAAGAAAGTTAAGACACAGTGAAACATTTTCTTTAATTGAATTTGCACCTAATTAAGACAAGGATTTCCATATTATTAAGTGTATGGTAAGCCTCTGATCTTTGTGTTACATCTTTGCTATTTCTCTAATTTTTGTCCTGGAAGATCCCAGGACTCAGTGATTGGAACTCTTTTTCTTATAATTTTCATGTTTCTCCTATATAGTGTCTTTTAATCTCTGGTCTTAAATACTTCATCAGTACCCATAATTTTCAAGTTTATATCACTAGCCTAGTCTTTTTCCCATATTTCCAATAAGCAAGAGATATCCTCCTGAGAGCCACAAGTTAACAAGTCCTAAAGCAAGCTCCTGCCCTGTCCTGGTTCTCAATAACCAGTTCTTCAGTAAGCCACCACAACCTTGCTTTATAGAAAGTCTATTTAATAATGTCTATAACTCTTCTCTTCATCTCCTACTCTTTGCCAAAGTTTCAGAAAACCTTCCTTTCATCCAAACTAACTCAGAGACTATCAACTTATTTTCACTGTCCTTTCAACCAACCATCCTGGTATAAGCACCGTCATTTTTTTAAAAAAAAATTTTTAATTATTTTTTAATTATATCATTGACAATCTTTACATAGTTAATTAGGGTAAAAAGGTTCAAGGGCTATAGGAAAGTGGGTAAGACTATTATTTCCATATTGTTTCCTTCATATTTAAAGGGGAATATTGAGGGAGAAGGCCCACCCAATTTCCCACCCACCCCAGGTCCTGGATACAGGACATGTTCTGAGGTTCTTGCTCAAGTGGTTTTGATAGTTCACCAGTTATGAATCGCTGCCAATCTTGTCACTCCAAGCACTATGAGGTCGCTGAAGAATCCACTGATTGACATAGTCCATCATAGAGTCTCTGTTTGCCCTGTATTTCGCTGCCAACAAATAGCTGAGGTGGTTGATTGACTTGTTGTCTTCTGTCTTTTCTTGGTTAGGGTTCAGAGTTCAGCATTTTGATTGAGGAGATCTCCAAAGAAACTTTGCCTGAGGTGTTCCCAGACCAGATTCTTGTATGTACTAACAAGTACAGGGCTCAGCACAGTCCATTGCCCCAATCAGTTGGTGGTTGCAATCGCTGGGTTGGTTCGGTTTTCAGCCCTGACTTCCACTGGAACCAATGGGTGTTGCAGTCCAGCCTGGTTCTGCCCAGCATACACTCGGCCCTCACATAAACCAGTGGTAGCTAGTTGGAGAGACCCACAATAACCTCCAGCAGGCCTGCTCCCTACCCTGGTTTGCCAGTACGTGCAACAGACTAGTCCAGTCTGTCCAATCTGTCCCACACCCCATTTGGCTCTCATACATGCCAATGGGTATTAAAGCTTTGTTCCATCTAACCAGCTCCACTATGCAGCCCACACAGATGCTGTTGGGTGTCTGTCTAGCCACCCCAGCCCCTGTCCTAGTTTTCGTGCCCTCCAGTGGAAGTGGTAACCCAAGAGGGAGGAGCCCACTATTTCCCTCCCAGGCCTCTCTCACTCCTGGATTATGCACTCTCCAGGTAGTTCTGTAGTTTGACTTGACAGAATTAGCCCCCAGTGCCAGCTTCTGCCAGCTGATGTTGCCGCTAAGCCAAACAACTCTCACGCACTCTAATTTTGTTTGCA